TGCAGTACAACTCCATCGGTGATGCGAAGTTATCTTTAATTTCTTTTGTATTTTTTCCGGTAGAACCGAATGCTGCTCCATTTTTGGGAAATTTACAAAACTTAAACACATTATCAAGATTTACTAGAAAATACAATGTTACTGAAGGATGTTTTTAGCGCTTTGCCACAAAAATTAAAAATGCGCTATTGTGATCACTTTGTGTGTCCGTCCCTGCGACTGTATCGCTACTATTGATCTTTATTTTATGAGGTATTGTTGTACTTTTTTCGCTATTTGGTTCGTTATGGTGTCGAGGTTTGCACCAAGGTAGGTATTTGTTCTGCGCAGGGTTCTGCGTGTATTACTCAACAAGTAAATCGGTTTTTGCCCGGGTAACTAGCGCATTTTCCATGCATTGGTCGGTATTTCCCAAAAGCGATAATTATGTGAGCTATGTTTTTATTTACTAAAAGCACCTATGGTTAAAATTTCAAAAAAAATCTTAATAAATAAGAAAGTGTAACGGTCCAAAATGGTTAGTAACTAAATAAGCATTACTCTTTAACCCAACAATGCCCATTTTATGGCCCGCCTATGTTCGCTTACAACGATTTTGCATGTGCGCTGATAGAGAGAACAATTTTGATAAATGTACGTAGTTGCGTACGTGAATTCCTTGAAGTCAAACTGATTAATAAATCATTGCCGAAAATTTTGGGATCATTTCAGTGACTTCTGTACCAATTAAAGTAATTACCGAGTTTGATTGTTACTTTAATATTCCTTTTTGGGATTATTTGGAATCACGTTACCAACACAATCATGCAAAACTGTTTAGGCGAACCAATTCATCACACATAAATAGGTTCCTAATAATCTTTGAGTGGAAACCCTCAAGATCGCCGAGGGTTCTTTTTCTGGACTCACTCAATTTAACTAAGACGCAGACGTCACGTCATTAGTTTGGGGCGTAATTAGAGCGCCGTTCTCGTCAAACGCCAGTTAAATGCCCATAGCCGTTGCAGAACCTCTACCACCCAGATAAGATATCTGTTTGTGCCGTCCCCTTTGTTTACCAAGAAGATTTAATGTGATTTCCACCTGTTACCTACTTAATTGTTACCTATGTAGAAAAGTTGTGTTTTACGTTAAAGGAAAGGAATTTGGTGTAACCCTGATATGATCATATCTTGGAATTTACGTTCTCATGAGCCATTTGGTTACGATAATTTTTTTTGCCTGATTTTGTTATTAAGTTTCCTTTCAAAGTATTTTCGTTTATTGTAATAAAGAAAGTCTATTAGAGCTAGCTGGCAGGTTGCTTACTGCCGCTCACTGAAATCGAGATATGAGAAATCTATTTATTTAATGCCCTCCTTGATCTACAGATCCTACGTCCCTGAGGCAACAATAAAAAAAAATACGTGGCATTAAATTGGCGCCCAACTGTAATCGTTTAAGTGTTTTTTAGAAATTGTGTGTAAAATAATATTACTGTAGGTAGCGATAGGTGTTGGTGCTGTCGGTGTATTGTGGTTCCTTACCTTTCTTATAGGTTTAAGGATTATCAGGGTATTTCTTTGTCATTACCAAATTGAATATTATTTTTATAGAATGGATATTGGCAGGTTATTGAGTGATGAACTTACCCATGAGTTACTTGTACGCGGTGCAGTAATAGGTAGCACAGTAAAAGAAAAACGTTCAATATTAAGGGAAGCTATGGCTCGCGAACGACTGGGGTTAGTGGCTCAACCTACTATTACCTTTGATCCTCAGCAAGAACTTAATACTTGTTCGTTGAAACTTGATGAATTACACGGTAATATTCAAGAATTTGACAATTCCAATAAACTTAATGAGCACGCACGTATTAAAACTCGGCTATTGCATGTAGAGGGAAGACTGTCGCTCACTGAAATCGAGATATGAGAAATCTATTTATTTAATGCCCTCCTTGATCTACAGATCCTACGTCCCTGAGGCAACAATAAAAAAAATACGTGGCATTAGCACTATACGCAGTCTACACAATGCGCACACCGGATGTTTAGAATATGTGATATGTTTACTTTTTTTTTAGACAGGTGGGGAAATGCATTACGCACACTTCGGATAGCAGTCCGGAGTAGTGTGGGACTCTCCCATTATCAGGGTAGACCCACTAAAACCCCACCTGAGGCTTCGGCATCTATGCCCATTAGCCTTTATACTTATACTACCGTACTACAATATCACAGTTTCTGTACACACAAAACAAGACAGGCGTGATTACATTTACTCATTTACTACACAAATATACATAAAGACACAAATTTAAAAATATCACAGATGGTTTGCCATACCAATTTGTTGGATGAACGCGAGAGTATTTTACATTGCTCTTCATTTTTAAAGTTATTTTCCCATATCGGGTTTATATTAAATAGCACACGTACATCCATATACTGCGAACAGATAGAAATAATGTGATGTGGTGTTAAATTAACACCACATTGTTCGCATAATGGCCGTTCTTCACCTGCCAACAAATACCCGTGAGTGAGAGCAGTATGCCCCAGACGGAGTCTGTACAGCCTGATCAAGTTCAAACGTCCATATAGAAAAGCGGATCCAGACTAAGTTTGATCCTTTTCAAAGCCGTATCAGACTCCGACCACTGGCTCACTCCACCGCTCGTAGATTTTACTTTACTATAGATCATATCGCCTAAAAAAGGAATCAGGGGAACATAGTGTAACATCCCACTAAGTTTATTGTTTGTTCATCTCAATATCTCTGTGCTATGAATAAAGATAGGTATAAATCTGGTATACATGCTGACCGTTGGAACCACCCTCTAAACTCACAATGGATGGGCGAAGCGTTTATAAGCGCATAAACGTTTATAAGTTGAATGTTCCACTGTACAATGCATTAAAAGAAGTTGTTTACATCCAATGGCGTGCGATATTTCCTGTTTTAGAGTACCTACTCATATCACAGATAACGAAAGTTGTAGTTGATAGAAACCCATTCGTTTCCATGATATCTTTTATTAGAATACCTTGAAGGGTAGAACATTTGTTCACACCCCCAGTCCCCCATTTTCAAAAGTTTTCCTTGGCACCAGTAAAAGCATGCGTATGGAGGTCCGAACGGACAAAACAGAACAGCACATTTTGTTGCCTCTTAAAAAATGCGCTAAAAATACACAGTTTTCATATTACAAGCAATTATTCCTGTAGAGAAGAGTTTAGGAAGTACTTGATGAAATCTTAAAGGCCAATTCAGACTATAGCCCAGGTCACGCTCTGCTCACGCTCCGCTCAAAATGTTGTAACATGATATTTCAATAGTAATATTCTCATTTGAAGGTTAGGTCACAGTCAGAACATGCTCATAAGAAATACACGCTCCAATAATTGACCGAACCGTAAGCGGGCCGTGATCTGACCGTGACGTGACCAATAATCTGAATCGGCCTTAAGTGTAACTGCAAATGAATATGGGAAAAACAATGAACTCTAGAGAAATTTGAGAGAAATGCGATGAGAACTTGTGGACCAGCAAAAAATGAGAATGAGGGCAATTTAAAAGGAACTCTTAATGGTTTGGGATCTTGAGATGGGTTTATGAGGAAATTGACATGGGTTAGGTAGAAGACCTAAAGGAGAATTTGATACGCATTTGAACCGCAGCACGAATTTCAGGAAGATTTGACTTCTTGTGGAGGAAAACTCCTTTAGGTTTTCTACTGTCAATTTTCTCATAAACCTCTCCCAAGGCCCAAAATGACTAACAGTTCATTTTAAACTGCCCTCTCGTTCTTATTTTTTCTCTGGGTCCCCTCCAAGTTCCCATGGAATTTCTCCCAAATTTCTTAAAGTTCATTGTTTTTCTCAGTTTTGATACGGAATTGAAGAAACCGGAGCGATGAAATGCACGGTAATTTCAGAGAATGCAAGCATCTTGAGAAGCGAACTTCAGATGTTTATTGAGCAAGGCAGGAGGAGAACATAAAGGTAATTTGATAGGATGAGATGGAACTCGAATTAAATTTGAAAAAAGATAGTTAGAAGAAGAACTGGAGAACAATTTTAGATAATATTAAGAATATCTTCGGAAGACGCCGAATTTAGGATGAGCTTAGGATGTTAATTGGGGGTTGAAACTTGAAAGCAAATTTGAGGAGTTTGAGATGAACTTATCTTAAGAGAAAATTGAAGAATAAATTCAGAAGTGGGCGTAAAATTAACTTAAGGAACTTGATAGCAATTTTATGGGAATCTTCAGGAAAGTTTAAGAGAACCTTGAGAGGAAATTCAGGTAAACTTGGTGAGAACATGCAGGGATATAAAGAAGGATTTCAGAGGAAAACACGTGGAGAACTTCAGGGAATTAGCAAGCAAATTGAGAAACGCTTGAAAAGTACTTCAGCAGAACTTGTGAAAATCGGGTATAGGAAAATGGCTCTAGATTGAATAGGAATGGCGGATATAAAACGTGAAGATTTAGTCTTGCCAGTTATAGAAATTGATATTTATAATAATAGATCCCGCAGTGCTTCCTTGAAACTTGACACAAGAAACACCGTTTAATATTTTTCTTTTTTGTTGTATAAATTACAAGATGTACCTACTCGTACTTGCTTCTCAATTGTGAATATTGATAAGGCAATACTAAAATAAAAATGCCCGGTGACTAGATTACTACGCATTTTAAAAATGCACAAATATTTATGCTCTAAATTGTCAAACATGCTACATAACAATGCAATTTTATCCAAACATTTTATTTTGGAAAACAATCGGTGCACAAAATACTAATACGCAGCCACTATTTTCAATACACCAAGAATGATTTTTGTTAATCCCTCGTCTTGTAATTACAATGTGTGGAAGCAACAAAATATTTTATTAATCATTGTTTGCGCTTTGACCTTTAGATTATTCGTTGATGTGTTGGGAATTTCCAACTGTCCACTCACATCGTTGGTATATAATACAAACCGGTACCACCAGAAACCACATAAAGTAACTCATGAATATCGACTCGGCCTTCAGAGAATGATTACGGTAGATTACGGTAGTAGTTGTTAATTCAGCACAATGTACCCATCACTACTACTAGTCTGTGTTAGTTTTTTGACATTTATATCGCTTAGTTTTGAAGCATGCCGTGTTGTGAAAGGTGCGCATGGTCTTTCGAACTATATGTGTGATTCCATTCAAGATTTAAATCAGAAGCCAATTTTGTTAGATGTTGTAATATATAAGGATGGCACCGCTTCAAGGATTAACCAACAAACCAAGACGCCCAAATTTAGCGCAACTCTTGCCCAAAAGGCCGGTGGGAAATTCAATATAGATGTAGTGAACGGTATTCAGAAAGTGTCCAACATCGCGAGTTCAATTTCAATGCTAACAGGATTAAATAAAAATACTTTTGACAACATTCAGCTAGAAAAAATACAGTTGAGGGATGGATATCTAACAAGTATTGAACCCGGAACGTTTTCCAAATTAAAAAATGTGCAAGAGATTCAAATTATTTCTCACGCGCTTCAAAGAATTCAAAGTGGGGTTTTTAGCGACTTGCCGATCATTACCCTCGCGCTTTCTAACAATCAAATTAAGTACATTGAACGAAACGCGCTTATTAACCTGGAAAATTTAAAGAATTTATATTTGGATGGAAACATGTTATCTGAATTGTCTTCGGAATCATTAATGAACAACGCAAAAGAACTGGAAACTTTGCATCTCCAAAACAATGCGTTTACAAGTATTAGCCGAAACATGTTTAAAATTTTCACTAAATTACGTGTTCTAAACTTATCGCATAATAAAATATTTAGCATCATGAGCTATACCTTCGAAGATTTGCTACAACTTGAAAGTTTAAATTTGGCCCACAACATAATTTATGAATTAAAAACGGATATGTTTCCTAATAACGGTTTTCTCATTTTATCAAAACTAAATATTGCCTACAACAGGCTTCCGGATTTACCGCTTAGTGTGTTGGATAAACTGCAGGAAGTGAAATTTATTAGTATAGGTGGAAATCCTTGGCACTGTCTTTGTTTAGACTTAATACAAGTTTGGATAAATAAAAATAATATCAAACAAGTGTGTGACGACGAGTATCTGAAAGGAATCAGACCCATTTGTGTGTTGGATCAAAGTGGTGCTGATACGTGCACTTTCACTGACCAGTCTCTTTATCACAAGTACATCGCGGAGAACAATCGTTTACCGAAAAACTCGACTTGTACCGATATCTGAAATGTGCGCAAGCAAAATTAGTTTTGTAATAAAATAGGTATTAAATTGCGATAATTTCTATACGCTTTCGTCCAAATCGCTTGAAAGTAAAGCTACTCGGCAATATAAAATACGCCTACCTATCCATCCACCTGTCTACATCAGAGACACAAAAAATTCGTATATTACAATTTTCCCTGTTTCAATTCAATTTAATTTACCTTCAGAATGCTACTTGAGAAACGAAACCTTACAATGAACGAACGAACAATTTAGAGCCACTTCAACTGTAAACAGATTCATAAACCTGGGAGTATTTATATCAGTACTGATTTATTTGAAAATTTTTCATACAATGACTTCGCCTAACCTAATAGATACTAATTAAATTGGAATTTATGCTACGTTGTTAGAATTACGTCCCTATGGTAATTATACCGCTTATCGGACTGCGCACTTTGCTTGTTCAACCACTGTTAACTAGAAACCAATATTTTCAAATACATAGTTAACTCTTTCCTACAAGACTATTTATATAGGTTAGGTACTTTGTTAATAAAAGTGTACAATTTGCCTACAATACCGTTCCCTACTGATTCAAAGTTATCTATCTTGCATTTCTTTAGTACTTCTCTATACTGGGATGGTGACTTGAAAAACGCCCCATAGGAATTTCAATAGTAATTTCTTCATTTCTGATTATTGGCTTTCCTAATCCATGCATACTATAATTTTTAATTTTTTGAACTTTGAAACAAAGAAATTTGTTGGCGCTTTTAAGAAAATGAGTGATGCCATGGCAGTTTGAGGCTCCGTTAACTTAGCACCACCATTTCAAATTTTTGACTAAAGACAGATTGCGCTAGAATCTCTATGGCTAGCGCCAGCTAGCGCCACTTTGAGTTCAGCTAGCGCCATTATAGATTTTGCAGAAAAGCCCTTGACTTTCGGGGGGTGCTATGTTAACGCTAGCACCACCATTGCGTCCGATCACTTCCAAAAGCAAGCGCTGTGTTCGTCAGACCTAGCGCCAGCTAGCGCCACAAATTTTAGAGCTAGCGCCACCCCCCAATAGTGCGGGGGGCATTTTTCCTAGCACCACCATTTTGTTTTTTCGGGTAAAATTTTGACGTTTTGTGTTCTGCTGACCTAGCGCCAGCTAGCGCCACAAATTTTAGAGCTACCATCACCCTCCAATAGTGTGGGGGGAGGGGGCACCACCATTTTGTCTTTTCGGGTAAAAATTTGATGTTTTCTGTTCTTGTAGACCTAGCGCTCAAGTTAACCTAGCGCAATTATAAATCCTAGCGAGTTTATAATTTTGCGGTATCTGTCCGTCTGTCCGTTAGCACGATATCTTGATAACGATAACGATTTGACCGTTTACGATGAAATTCTGTAGATGGATTCTTTATCAAATTTGTAGATCGGAGTTCGTGAATTGGCAAGACCAAAAAATAAAGTAGGCATTTTTGACATCTCTGTGAATTATGAACCGAATTGTATGAAATTCAATATGTGTATTGCTTTAGCCATATAAAACGCAATTCCAAAAGTTGAGCCTAATCGATCAACATTCACAGTGCTCTTTTGGCATCTCGACCATTTACAAACCGGATTGAAAACTTTCTTATTTATGGAAGCATTTAAAAGAAATTTGATACATAGCCACTTGGAATAAAAGCAAATTTAACGTCAGTTTCAAAATTTGGTTTTGTGCATGATGTGTGGTGCCAATTTTCTTATTTATGGAAGCAATTAAATCAAATTTCATACATATACACTTTAAATAAAAGCAAAACTAACACCAAATTCAAAATTTGGTTTTGCACATGCTGTAGCCATACCCAGGAGCTCGTTTTCTATATTTATTTACACGTCGATGCGAAAAGGGCACTGTGAATGTTGATAGATCAGGTTCAATTTTTGGAATTGCGTGTTATATAGCTTAAGCTATACGAATATTGAATTTTATGCAATTCGGTTCAAAACTCACGCATATGTCAAAAGGGCCTTACTTATTTTTTGGGATACATTACCAATTCATGAACTTCGATCTACAAATTTGATAAAGAATCCAACTACAACATTTCATCGTAATCGGTCAATTCGTTATCGAACTATATTGTGCTAACGGACAGACACCGCATCTGGGATGGTCAAACTCTACCTTTTTTAAACCCGAATGTGCAAATCTGTCCCTCTAAGGGTCTGAAATAATAATCAAATTATTTCAATTTGAAATTCTTTACTTTTTGGTTTGATCGTTCTGTTTAAAGTAAAAAGTTCCAATAAAAATACTAAAATTTGTATATAAAGTAGCAAGATTGTAACCCTTCATTTCGAAGTAAACTGACGGTTAGGTATGCAGGTACAAACTTACTTAAATCCTTTATGAATGCGCAAGAGTTGTAAATTATTTGTCACATCAAGGGTTTACAGGCGCGTCAATTGTGTGAATGTTGGTAAATATGTATTGTTAAAAAAACACCTTTAGATGGTAGTTGACGTGACGTACATAGGTATATAATTTATCAAGAGCTTGATTTTTAATCGCATAATTTTATTTTTACACGAAAATTTTGTTGCAACGGAAAAAACTCGAAACCAAAAGCGTGATCGCGACAGTTTTAGCTGGAGCGATTTTATTAATATTATGCTTTTGATCAAGAGTTTTTTCCAGGAGGCAACAAAATTTGAGTGAATTAAAAATAAAATTATCCTGACCAGGGTCGAGTGTATTTTAGGGAGATTAATAAAGACAATAAATTTTATAACCACTACATATTTTACGTATTCCTACACGCATTTTTATCGCTGTAAAAAGCTACCTAGCATTTAATCAGATAAAAAATCATCTGATTGGTTAGAATTTGAAACCTAGCCGATTGGCCGTATATTAATGGAGTGTATTAATCATATAATAGTATATTAAGATACAAGTGTATAATCAAGTCTTTAAAGCACGCGCAACGAGTTTAAGGGCACGACGCAAAGCGGAGTGCCTTTAACGTTGCAAGTGCTTTAAAGACTAATTATACACGTGTATCTTATAGTATTTTTTATTATACCTGCAGTATAATTTAAAAATAGGAAATACAATGAAGTCATATTGACGTTATACTCGAATACATGTCTAATTAAGTGGGCTGGGTGTTCGTAATTTCACGATTGCCATGGAAATGTCACTTGACGTTTGCTTATAAAAATCATCGTCTTTGTGAATTAAACGATTTCCGTTGAAAAAGATAATACACCGCCCATTAAATCGATTGTTGTAAAATCTAAACAAACGTTGTTAGGTGTAAAATCCAACTGCAGTAAAACCTATTATAAAGAATATGAAAAGTTGTTTTCATGGATGAATGGGAAGTTACTTACGAATACAGTCTTAAATGCATCCATAATGCTGGCATATATGAAGGAAATGTCAAAGGTATTTAAATCTTCTATATTTTGGTGCATTCATTCAAAACTTTAAAGCAATGCTGCGATTAAAAAGTGGAACAGATTTGGAAACATACCCTAAATTACGCGCGTTTGTGAAAGATTCAACGAAAGGATAGGTACAAAAGCCAAAGAAATGTTCTGCATTTACAGAAAGCGACCTAAGAGGATTTTTTATTTCATCCAGATGACAGTTTCAAAAGTCATACTTGAAGTATCGTTACTTAGCAACTTTAAAGCACGTGTGTTTTAAAGGCCCTTTTTCGCACGCATTTGAGTGTTTAAAACGGAGATTGTGATTCAGGTATAATAAAAAATACATATGCCTTATTTGCACCATAAAAATTAGTTAGCTACGGAAATTACACATAAGTATATAAGAACTGCTTCTTTGTTTTTTAGCAGAATTAACAAATATGCTGATTAATTTAACGACTTTATATAGGTTATGAGTAGGTAGGTACGTTCGTTGAAATTTTCAAATTTTGCACTGCGCTGTGCTCTAAACGATTTAGCTCGCAATACTGTGGTAGTGAAATTAATACTGTGACTTACAAAAAGAATTGTTTAGTGAGTAGAGTACAAAACAGAAAAATTTCACAAGAAACAGTACCTAATATGGAAATTTTAAAATTAAAAATTCATAATATAGTACGGTGCAATTAGTCGACAAAACGGCTTAACCTAAACATCAAAAGTAAAAGTTTCCCATTAACTGCAAATTGTTCTATACAGTCCACATATTGTTTGGTAAAAAGTTACACCAGTTGGTAAATTAGTAGTTTTTGGTGTTTTTCTTAAATATTTAGAAAACTATGGGGTTTGGCGAGAAAAGTACCATATCCAAAATAATCTACATTAAATTGTGAATAAAAATGGTCTTGTGTATAATCTTGCTCAAGTCAACGATTCCAGAGTTACGGAGGGTGTAAAAGTAGGCATTTTTTGTATTTTTTCGATTTTCTGGAAAAATGAAATCATGTTTGAAGTAAAGAACACTGAAGATCTGGCTTGTTTTCGTTACCAGTGTTACTTGCAAGCTATTTCAAAGCATCCTATACATTCACTGTTCAAGTTGGCTGCGCTTCTCCCCACTTCAGCAGCTACCAGGTAGAACATTCATTTAGAACTTACCATTAGAAGAAGAACCCGATGAAGTGGGAATGCAAGATTGTCGAACACCTGAAGCAATAACAACACATCCTGCAACTCCCCAGGAATTACTGTCCCTCATAGTGGAAGTCTCTTGAAAAAATGGCCCCCCCTTGAGAAGGTGGTAAGGTTATCGTTCCTTCAAGGACTTATCAGTAACATACCACCGGTCACTAAAGCGCAATTTGTTTTAACCGGTTTTAACAAAAAAAATAGTTTCCTTAGTGATAATCTCATATTTTTTCCAAAAGAATCTAAAAAAAAAGATGAAAAATTTCTACTGTTACACCCTCCGTAACTCTGGAATGGTTCAATTTAGCAAGATTATATATGAGGCCATTTTTGTTCGCAATTTACTGTAGATTATTTATTTTATATCGCGCTAAATAGTATAGTTTTTTAAATATTTAAGAAAAACTTATCACAACTACTAATTTTCCAACATTTATTTTTATTCAAAGTAGCTTAAAGTGTCAAATTTC